ACATTATATGTTGAGTTTTAGCAAAGTAATTGATATTCTTTTCGTTTTAATTATTATAAAACTAAAATTCAACCTTTTAATGACACAACGGTTAAACCGCTGACTCAATGACCTAATAATTTGTTTGGGTCAACGATCGAATCGGATATGATGACTGTGTTTTGAAGAGTGAAAAAATAACAAAGAAGAAAATTAAATTGAAAATTGACATTTATTGATGCCCAAAAATTTAATTATTTAATCTTCTCATTAGAAACTATTTAATCAAGAAAAAAATTTAGCAATTCGGATAAGCATTGACACAAATTTTTCTTCTTACATTCAATGACAAAATCTTTGCCGTTATTAAAACTATGAAATAGTCTTTTTTTTTTGCTAGACTAAGATTATTAATAAATCGAACAAAGAAAGCAAGTAATTTGACCAAACTTGAAATTCTTACTCGATAAATATTATTAGATTGGTAGATAATATACATCTATACTTGCAATTCGAATACGATACATGTAATTTTAATTCACGGTATTGGTCTTCATTGTCGCCATTAACGGTCAACGACCACCCGTGTTTACTTGAAATTCTAGATTCGCCATTGGCGCGGTAGTTGTGGTTGTTGTCTAAAGGCGGTAGACTTTGTAGTTGTTGTGTTTAGGTGGAGGTAGTGTTGGAAATATGTTGTTCAAAATCAATAAACATGTGTGTGGAATGGAATGAACAAAACAGAATGGAGACCTAAATTTTGGTCCATGCGACTGCATAGACAATTTGGCCATGCGATCGTATGGTCATCACCTGAGAATTTGTGGACGGTCACAAGGGAAACTATGCGACTGCATGGTACATTTAAAGTGACCATTGGGGGTCGTTTTTCAGTTAGTCTTTTGGTGGCTTTTGGAGAGAATCTTGCATCTCTTTATGACTTTTTGGCACCAATTCGTAGGGTATTGATTGACATCTATAAATAGGTGTTGAAGGATCAATAGATAATATTGAAAAATCATATGAGAAACTTATTTTACATTCCACAAGAAAGAAAATTTCTTTCTATTTCCATATTCAAGCAATTCCCTCGTGTTCTTCAAGTTCGGGTGGAAAAACATTTATGCTTTAATATTTTTCTGCAACAAGGCTTGATAAATCCCGGGAACCGTTTGTTGTAAAACCCTTGAAGCATCTCATATAATCCGAAGAGGGGGCAAATACTGTTCGAGGACGGCGGAATTATTTTCGTGTTTGAGCCTTCATATTGGTTTTGATCTTCTTGTTCACTTTCATCTTCTTGAATTTCTATTTCTTGGTTTCTTCTCCAAACCCTGATGTTGATAATTTCCCAACCGGTAAGGGGTCTTGGAATGTTTGCAATAATTTCAAAAACAAAAACAAAATGACAGTACATTTGGAATTATGAAATTTGTGAGCACTTGATGTAATTTCCATTTGAAATTATGATTCCAAAATGTGCTCGTACTAGGCTTGCACTTGCCTCGCTAATAATTTTTACGTGACTAAAGGGACATTAACAGTCATTAAAAAATTGAATAAAAATGAAGGAAAAGCCGACTGTTGAAATCAAATCGATGACCAAAGCGATGCTCTATTTTCGATAGGGTACAAATATCTAAATTTGATATTTTTAGATACTTTTCAGAACTATTGCCAATACTAAGCAGCAGTTAGGGTATTAGTTCATTCTCACGTTCTTGAATCGATTGGCGAATCTATTGGCACATGTATTTATTTTCTTGTTTCAAACTAGGTCTTTTCCAAACATGAGTTTGGAATTGCCCATTCTATAGGGAAAGACATGAGGGGCGTAGGAATGGCTATATTTTGGGTAGCAAACTTCAGGCAAATATGATGCGTATGGATACAAGTTATGACTGGTGATGCTTAAGCATCTGATGTTGGTTAGTCAACCCCTCTCGCTAGACCTAGTAGCTCTAACTTTTAAAAACCAATCAAAAAGCAAGGGTCGTAGGCTAGTAGCTTGACATGGCCTAACCGCCCTAGCCGTGCATTAAGCTGTCCCAAAGGCAGGTAGTACATTTTCGACAGCTCTAATGGCAATGTATTTACTTTTACTTTTTAATTAACTTATACAAATCCAGGGCATTTATTTAGCCCATGTTTGATACTCATTAAATTAAATTATATTACATTCCATTTTTCTCTCTCCTATTTTCAACTACACAATTTTCCATAAAATAATATTACATGTAAATCGAAAACTTTTTCTTCTTTTTCAATTACTCATTTTTCTAAAAAATATTATTCCCCCTATTTTCATTTTCAAGTAATGGGCATAAAAAAAGGGGCTTATTTTTCAGACAAATTAATTCAAACTGATTTTTAATTAAATTGAACACGAAAATGAAAAGCATGTACCAAACATCCGTTCCTTAATCATTTTAGTCATATTTAATTCACGTTACTAAACATGTTATAAATATTTACTAATAGAATTTCTAAACTCCTTTTAAGTTATATTACTTTGTTTCAAACAAGAATGGAGGGTAAATTTCATCTATTGTCACTGGATTTTTAGTGTTCAAAAAATTAGTAAAAAAGCAATCAGATTTGGGTTATTAGTCGTTACGAGTTACTATAAATCTTAATTTATTTTAAATTTAGCCACTCGATCACCTTCTATCACTCTTTGTCTCCAATTTGACGAAAACTGCTTAGTCGATAACCGTACAATATCTAATATTTCACATAATTATTACGTGACACTTTCGAAATGAAATTTGTCGAATAAGAGTCATAGTAATATCTTTATATGAAAATGTTAAAATTAGTGTCTTTTAGTTTTAATGCTTTATGACATCACATGTTGTGCATTGATCATTTGGAAGAAAGTTCAATAGATACATAGTTAAGGATGGTGCAGACTTGAGGCCAGAAACAAATGTTAAAAATCGGAAGGAACAAAATGAAAATTTTCCAAATTTGCAAAGTTATATTTTGTTATGATTGGACCATACTATCTGTTTTATAATGATGGCCCAATATATTTAAGCTCAGTACGTGATATGGTCTATGGGCTTTAAGCGCCAGGCCCAACATGTGATATAGCCTTATATATATATATATTCTCCATGGGCTTTAACGAGAAAGCGATTCGTTTCCTTTCGACGCGTATTCCCTGACCGACAAGAACTTGTTCTTGCAAAATCAGATTACAATTCCATACTTGGAATCTCGAAATTTTTAACGAAATTAGTCAAATTTTCGTCTCGAGAATGTTTGCAATAATTTCAAAAACAAAAACAAAATGACAGTACATTTGGAATTATGAAATTTGTGAGCACTTGATGTAATTTCCATTTGAAATTATGATTCCAAAATGTGCTCGTACTAGGCTTGCACTTGCCTCGCTAATAATTTTTACGTGACTAAAGGGACATTAACAGTCATTAAAAAATTGAATAAAAATGAAGGAAAAGCCGACTGTTGAAATCAAATCGATGACCAAAGCGATGCTCTATTTTCGATAGGGTACAAATATCTAAATTTGATATTTTTAGATACTTTTCAGAACTATTGCCAATACTAAGCAGCAGTTAGGGTATTAGTTCATTCTCACGTTCTTGAATCGATTGGCGAATCTATTGGCACATGTATTTATTTTCTTGTTTCAAACTAGGTCTTTTCCAAACATGAGTTTGGAATTGCCCATTCTATAGGGAAAGACATGAGGGGCGTAGGAATGGCTATATTTTGGGTAGCAAACTTCAGGCAAATATGATGCGTATGGATACAAGTTATGACTGGTGATGCTTAAGCATCTGATGTTGGTTAGTCAACCCCTCTCGCTAGACCTAGTAGCTCTAACTTTTAAAAACCAATCAAAAAGCAAGGGTCGTAGGCTAGTAGCTTGACATGGCCTAACCGCCCTAGCCGTGCATTAAGCTGTCCCAAAGGCAGGTAGTACATTTTCGACAGCTCTAATGGCAATGTATTTACTTTTACTTTTTAATTAACTTATACAAATCCAGGGCATTTATTTAGCCCATGTTTGATACTCATTAAATTAAATTATATTACATTCCATTTTTCTCTCTCCTATTTTCAACTACACAATTTTCCATAAAATAATATTACATGTAAATCGAAAACTTTTTCTTCTTTTTCAATTACTCATTTTTCTAAAAAATATTATTCCCCCTATTTTCATTTTCAAGTAATGGGCATAAAAAAAGGGGCTTATTTTTCAGACAAATTAATTCAAACTGATTTTTAATTAAATTGAACACGAAAATGAAAAGCATGTACCAAACATCCGTTCCTTAATCATTTTAGTCATATTTAATTCACGTTACTAAACATGTTATAAATATTTACTAATAGAATTTCTAAACTCCTTTTAAGTTATATTACTTTGTTTCAAACAAGAATGGAGGGTAAATTTCATCTATTGTCACTGGATTTTTAGTGTTCAAAAAATTAGTAAAAAAGCAATCAGATTTGGGTTATTAGTCGTTACGAGTTACTATAAATCTTAATTTATTTTAAATTTAGCCACTCGATCACCTTCTATCACTCTTTGTCTCCAATTTGACGAAAACTGCTTAGTCGATAACCGTACAATATCTAATATTTCACATAATTATTACGTGACACTTTCGAAATGAAATTTGTCGAATAAGAGTCATAGTAATATCTTTATATGAAAATGTTAAAATTAGTGTCTTTTAGTTTTAATGCTTTATGACATCACATGTTGTGCATTGATCATTTGGAAGAAAGTTCAATAGATACATAGTTAAGGATGGTGCAGACTTGAGGCCAGAAACAAATGTTAAAAATCGGAAGGAACAAAATGAAAATTTTCCAAATTTGCAAAGTTATATTTTGTTATGATTGGACCATACTATCTGTTTTATAATGATGGCCCAATATATTTAAGCTCAGTACGTGATATGGTCTATGGGCTTTAAGCGCCAGGCCCAACATGTGATATAGCCTTATATATATATATATTCTCCATGGGCTTTAACGAGAAAGCGATTCGTTTCCTTTCGACGCGTATTCCCTGACCGACAAGAACTTGTTCTTGCAAAATCAGATTACAATTCCATACTTGGAATCTCGAAATTTTTAACGAAATTAGTCAAATTTTCGTCTCGAGTACTAAAAGAATCAAAAAATGGTATGTAAATTGTTTTATTCATTGCTCTATCGTTTTAATTGCTCATTTATTTTTAGGGTTTAGGGTTGTTATTTCTACATGTTCGCTTTTATTTAGATGTTTCGAAGTGTTTTGCCTTTTGTTTTTTCACGATCTGAAATCATATTTGATGTATTGGATTTGTTCTTGATAGTGTTTTAGTTCTGAATACATATAAGAGCGCAGTTGTGATTTAACGATTGAACAATTTGTTAATCGACGGGGATCGTGTATTTTGCTTTTGAATTTTCCAGAATAATGTAGAAATTGGTTGGGTTCCGTGAGATCTGTGGCGTCTTTTTATTCACTTGGAAAGGGGGTTTGAGATCCTTTTTCGTTCATTTTTATTTTCAATTTTTTTTAATGTATTTAGAGGAAGACGATGTCCATATTGGGTTTATTTCATCAAGCGTTTGAATTGAATTCTGTAACGATCAATGATGTTAAATTATTTTGTTAGCACGAAGGAGGAAATTTTATCTTTATTTAATGTTTGAGAAATAATCCTTGTTTTTCACTACAGGTATATTGGAATTTGCATTTCTTATTATTAGTTACTTCACCTGCAGTTCTTATATGTACAAATATGTGATTTCTGAAAAATATATTTATTTTTTACTATATTTATTTGAAGCAATTCTTAATATTATTTATTTGACCATTTATCTGCAATTCTTCTATTCATAGAGATAAGATGTTATTCTCTTATTATATCTGATGCTTATGACTTACTTTAATGTTTGATATTTCAAGTGACTGACGTAAATTTATTTGGTTTCTGCAGTCATCGCTTGCTGCTGCAAGAGCAGATAATTTTTACTATCCTCCGGAATGGGAACCAAAAAAGGTATGCTTATGCCAGATATTTATGGGTATGATTGTTGTGGCAAGTTATTTTAATTTTTGGGCTGCTTACGCTGCTCTTCTTTTCAGGGTGGGTTGAACAAATTCCATGGACAACATGCTTTGAGGGAGAGGGCAAGAAAAATAGATCAAGGCATCTTGATTATAAGGTATTGAACTAGAGTGTGTGATCATTATTTTGTGATGCAGTTTATTTATTCACGGAATCAATGCTGCATAACTATGTTAAACTGTTCAAATTTTAGTATCATGGTGAGAAGATCAAGGGGGTAGTGTTTGGTTGTCAAGGAAATAAGAATGTTTCCTTTAGCAACATATCATATATGTGAAAATTTCACATTATACAGAAGCCTGCAGTGAGGCTTTTTTATTTATCTTTAGTAACCAAGGCAATATGAGTCTATAATTCTGAAAAATGGAATGAGGCTAAGAAAATTTTGTGACTGAGGAAAGTACAAGGAAATGTTGAACAAATTTTTTTTTTCCTCGTGATTCACTAACTTATTGAGCTTGACTAGTGTCGTGTGAATTTGAGTATACACAATACCAGCCTTACAAGGTCTAATTTGTGTGCTATAACCATCATTTAAATTTCCATTATTTGTTCATGTATAAATTATTTCTAGTCCTAAAGCTGTTTCCTTTTAATATTCTCTGAATGATGTTTGGAGTCATTGCTCCAATTCTTTTATTCATAATGTACTTATTACTGAGTGAGTTTCTTTATGAGGAGAGCTAATCGTGTTTTGTTGCATAATCACTCTATCAGAGCTTCGGAGGATACTTATTTCATCAGCCCCAGCTGTTGGGGAAAAAACATGAACTTGGTATTGTAACTATTCTAATAGCATACGACTAAAATTGACCTTGCTTTTGTGGGAAAAAAACTAATTATTTTGTTATCTTGCTGCAACAATAGGATTGAGATTTCCTTTTTTTTTTTTTTTTTTTTTTTTGGTAATGGGGTTCAACATGTAGGTCAAACTTCATACACGCACAAACTGTGTTCATTAATTTTAACTTACATGTGAGACCATTTACTCTATCAATGCATCTTTTTCTTATTTCTTGTTTAGAGATTGCCGCAAGAACGTTTGAGATTGCTCTCGTGCTTTTCATAATGCATCTGAACCCAATGAGATGATATGCTCAGAGAATTTATCTCATGTTTTTGCTTTTTACCAACAAAAATGTTTCTTCTAATGCCTTTTTTTACTGTTTTGTTAATGGAATTCGGAAAAATAAATTTGTAATAAGATGAAATCAAAATCTTCATTTCAACTATGAATGCAATTGCATGATCAAATGATCCTTAAAAACCTACGGAGACTCCTTTGATTTCCTCGTTATAGGAACAGTAGAAGCTGACAATAGAAAAATGACTCATTTTTTGCATACAATTTCCATTTGCCAGGTTTGAGATGCCATTTAATATTTGGTGTGGTGGATGTGAGTCCATGATTGCAAAGGGTGTACGATTCAATGCAGAGAAAAAACAAGTGGGAAATTATTACTCCACAAAGGTAAGCTATTGTTTATAATGAATGCTTATCTACTTCTTGCTAATTAGGATTGCTAATGGCAATTATCTGCTTATTATTTAACAGATATGGAGCTTTACAATGAAGTCCGCGTGCTGCAAACATGAGATTGTTATTCAAACAGATCCAAAGAATTGCGAGTACTTAATTATTAGTGGAGCCCGCCGAAAGATTGAGGAGTATGACGCAGAGGACGCTGAAACTTTGCTACTTCCGGTCGATGAGGGTGAGTGATTTTATCAGTCACTTTTGAATATCTCACTGTTTCAAGTTTACAACTAAAGCGCCATTATTCTCGTGTTTCACAGCGAGCTCATGTTGCTTATACTTAAAAGCTATCAAACTACTTCCTGAATGAACAGTTTATTGTGTTACATATTTAATTCTGCCCTCTGAGATCTTGTTTTCACACTAAAAAACTATTTTTTTTTAATTCATTTATTTATTTTTTTCTGATATCCAAGGGCATTCTCTCTGAATGTCTAATAAATTTCTTTTCTCCCCAATTACTGAAATCTTCTAAATGATTTCTCTAAATCTAAAATTATTTGATCTTTTGCAGATAGAAACAAGCTGGTTGATCCTTTTTACCGTCTTGAACACCAGGAAGAAGATATAAAGAAGAAGAAAGAAGCAGAGCCTGTATTGGTGCGTCTTCAGCGAGTTTCTGATGCTCGGCATTCAGATGATTATGCCTTGAACAAGGCACTCAGAGCTAAGCTTAGGGATCAAAAGAAAAGAGTAGCTGAAGAAGAGGCTATATCTAGGAAATCGGGACTTGGGATAAGACTTCTTCCATCTTCTGAAGAGGATGCTGCTGCGGCTTCCCGCATAAAATTTGCTTCCAAGTTTGACAAGAACCGAAAGGACAAAAGGGCGCTAATACAGTCTGCTTCAATATTTTCTGGATCGTCTGGATCTGCGTCTGATAAAAGACGCTTGGATCTTGAAGCTAAGAGAAGAAAAATAAATACCGCATCTGCATCGAAGTTATTGGTTGGAGGATTTAAGCCATCATCGTGGTCTCATGCTGCTGTTCCTTCAGGAAAATTTAACAGGGCTTAAAATGATCCCTCATGCATGGAGGAATATGCAGTTTCTCATTACTCGTGATGGATTTTGAGTTCAACTTTTGGCCTAGTGACCAATCAAACTGAGTTTGTGTACATATATGCTATACATAGCGTGTAATACAAGATTTTCATGTCCCTCCTGCACGTAGTTTATGTTTTCATCTTATAATAATTTTCTTGTGAACATTTGAAGAATTATATCAATGTTATTCTTGAATTGATATATTTAAACAATTGGTCTCCATGAAATCAAAGTGCATGTTTGGCGAAGTTTAAATTATTCAACTTGTTTGTCTCGGCTCTTTTTTCCTACCCGGTCTGTCAGTGTTTTGTTGTTGAATACAGGGCCATAATATATGTAATACAAATTCAAGGTTGCCTTTCGGAGCATAGCCCAGTAGTGCAAACGATTGGAATGAGGTTATCTCACGTCTTGCTGGCAGTTATAGTGTAGGCTTCGATTCCTGAGACATGGAATTTGACTCCTTGTAGGCGCAGTGTAAAGGCAACTCTTGTTTTCTGGCCTGTTGGGGCATATTTCGCAATTTTCCTCCCTCACAAAGTTTTAGGGGCGGGGCGGTAGGGGTCCCCAAAGTTGTGGTTCAACTTTTTTTTTGTCCTTTTTTTTTTTTTTTTTTTTTTTAAATACAAATTCAAGGTCATTGGGAGTCCTGTGTCGGTACAGTCGTGTTTTGAATTCTATGGCACTAAAGTTTGTCAGTCATTATGCATTTTCACACCTATTTTCATCACATTTTTATTAACTTTTTATTAATTAGAACATATTATCACTGATTATGGTTGTCATCCAAAAAGTTCATTAAGGGGACATTGAATGACTTATTTATCCATTTTATTTTTAAATAAGCAAATAAAAAACTGCAACATAATATTTGATTCTAATATCGAAGTTCACTAACAAAGTATTTGGACTTAAATTGTTGTCAATGACAAGATCGACTAATTAATATAAAATTTGAAGTGCTACGAGAAATAAAAGTTAAGAATGTTTAGTGCAATTTAAAGTGGTACAATGAACAAAATTTATGTTGTATATCTTCTGCTTTTAGGTTCTACAATTATTAATAATTAAAATGTCAATTTTTATCCAATGTATAAAATTATTTCATTTCCTGTCTCTACGTTAATTGACATTCAACAGTAAAGTCCAATCTCATTTATTCTTTTGTTTTTCTTTTTCTTCTTGACCACTGACATATCAAATCCCTAACAAGCAGGGAGCTTTACGTGGTTTTTGGTCTTTTAACAGAAAATGAGAGAATTTTTTCTTGGAAGAGCTTGGAATTTCCTTTTTATCATTGGGTTGGTTTTTAGGCTTTTTATTGCATTTGTCTGATTTCAAGAACTTCTTGATTTCATCTTCTTCTCCATACGTACGGGGGAATCGACCAACTCCTCAACTTTTATGATACTTACATCTTGGTTTCCTCAGTTCTCGTAACTTTAGAGTGACAATGAGCATTTAATAATCATAAAATCTTTTTCATCAACTTTTTTTTATCACTATTTCACTAGAGTGTAGGCAGAGTTAGAGACGTCACAGAATTAGAAATAGAAGGCACCAAATGATATATCACCCTTCGTTCTCCAAATTTCAAACTCCGTCGATTTTTTTTTTTCAAGTCCATAGCGCTTGAGTCTTCGGTTGACACTCTCCTGTCAATCTAAGAAAAACTACATTAATGTCTCCAATCTAAGAGAATTGTGCATTTGGGTCCCTTAGCGTTTATTTATTGACATCTAAATCTTTAACTTTTCAAGTTTATCATCTTAGAACATTCATTTTCTGTCATCTCGTTCCCCCACTTCTATGAGAACCCCTAAACTTCTAACTTTGGCGAGAGTGAGGGAAACGGGGCGTACGGAACAAGAGGAGAAGTATTAATTTTATTATTATTATTATTTTTTTTTTTTTTTTTGCCATTTTTGCATGTTGGCGTATTGTGAGCTGATTTAAAAAATCATTTATTATTATTATTTTTTTCAAAATAATGACCGTCAAACAGAGGATTACTACTCTGAATCTGATGCTCCCAATTCAATGATGAATTTGGAATTTTAATAAAACTTGGGTGATTTACCATCAAAGACTTCATCTAGGGTGACCTTTCCTTCCCATGTCATCCTGTTGACATCATGACCCATTAATGATTAAACCCCACTCCTAAGGCTCCACCTTCTCAAAGCTTCAGTGAGCCTTAAATCCTGTGCTCTTCGTCACCAACAAAAAAGCCTAAACAAGAAGTGATTAAAAAAAGAAAAGTTTTTATTTTTTTTTTTTTTTTTTTTTTTTTTTTTTTTTTTGCCATTTATGCATGTTGGCGTATTGTGAGCTGGGGCTGAAACATGTAGTTTACACCAGTCAGAACTTTTGGGGGTACTAAAAATAAAGTTTATGTTCAGGTAACAATTTACTTGGCTAAAATTCTATTTAAAAAAATAAATAAAAAATGAGAGTAGTTGGTAAGTAGGTGATACGTGTGTGTCCTACAAAATATTTGATTAAATTAATGTTAGATTTTGAACAACATAATTTTAAAAAAGAAAATGAAAACCAAACATAGGCAAGATATATGTTGTACGAATGAAATTCTCTTAAAAGGTTTGGTTCAGTATGATTCCATCCTAACAAAGGGTCCTGTGATGCTAAAAAATTTATAAAATTTGATAGATCCCATAAAATGTGTAGTGAAAAAATAGATAAAATTTTTGGATAGTGCCTAAATTGTAGACGCTTGTATAAATAAATAAAAAAAAAAAAAATCCAAATCATAGAATTTATCAATTCTAGGATGAGGTGTTTATTAGATAGAATGTACTTATTCAATCTAATAGAATGATTTTACCATATTTGGACTAATACCAATTCAAGTCATTTCATGAATATAATGTGACAAATTAACCAAAAAAACTATTTGTTACAAATAATATTATATATGTTGTTGCATCTAAACATATAAATGCCGACTAATTTGGTTAACATTGAATTTGACTAAATTGTTTCTATTTTTCTTTTTTTTCCTCCCTCTCTTTTATTTTTCATCTCTGTTTTCTTTGAAAAATTAAATTTTAACCAAGGATCTTATAACTTTTCTTTTCTTGTTTTTCATTATTTTTTATGAAAAATATTTATTTGTAATTAAAAATTATAAGATTTTGTATAAAAAAAACTAATTTATAATTAAATTTAAATATATTGATTTCTTATTTACTCTACAAAGGTATGTCATCGTGATTATTTCGATTATTATTTATTTAAGTAAGGTAATTTAAATTTTTATTCTTTTTAGAAAAAAAATTATATATTGAGAGAGTAAATTGTGGGAATCACCACCTCATATGTGAGAATTTCACACCGTTGTTCTAAATTCACGTAAATTCTATTTTAAACTAAAGTATTCCAAAGTCTCTTAAATTCTACAAAAACTTATAAAAGTTTTAAAAAAGGAAAGTCTATAGAAATCTATAAAAGACTTCATTTATTTCATATAAATTTATAAAATAAAAATAAAAAAAATCATGAAATCTATAGACATCATCATTTATAAAAAGTCCATAAAAATCTTTAAAAGTTTCAATTGAATACTCTCCCTAAATAAAATAAAAATAAGTAGATTGAAAATAGAATTTCAATCATATCGGTTAATGAATCTTGAAATGAGATAGAACCACCAGGTTGTGAAGGACACGTATGAAGAAGAGGTGAGCGCCCTCTAAGTTTACCACCCTACATACTGGATAATTTTTATTCGAATCGACCCATCCCGGTGTGATTAAAAATAAAGTTTAAGCACATATGACCAACTTTTTAGCAAATAAAAACTTAGGAAAAATTCTTATAACAATTCTTAAGTGTAGTCCAATTCAATTTTAAGAGAACAATTTTACAATGCCAAAATTCAGTTGATAAATAAATAATTAAAAAATATTAATAAAATATAATAATGTCACAATTATATAATTTATAGTCATAATAACGTACTTATAGATCATAACTTATTTATTGATCATATATTATCATATCAATTAGCCACAAATAAAAAATACTATAGATCACAATTTATTTATTTATTATAAATCACAAAATTTTATAGGTTACAACTTATTTACGATCACAAAATATCGAATTAGTAACTCACAGGTTATTTCTAATTCACAAATTACCATTGATCACCAATTATCGAATTTTTAAGTCACATATTATTTATTGATTATAGATTATTCATTTTATCGGTCACATATTATTTATTGGTCAGTTGATAAAAAGTTAACAAAATAGTTGGTCTCAAGCATCAAAATAGTTAGTCACAAACCCACTCTACCCCCAATTTCACCATTGACATTTGACACTAATACTTGGCCAGAAATCAAACAAATAGTTGGTCACAGACTCACAAATACCTAAATAGTTGATCACAATTACTCTTCATCACATTCCCACCACTTACCATCAACACCAATAGTTACAAATTAACCAATTAATTAATCATCATCTACAAATAGTTGATCACAACCTTGTTTATCATATCCCCATGACCCATCCCAACCCCACCATTGACACCAATCACACGTCGAGCTACCTCACCACCACCCAGCACAACCACCACCGCCACCGCCACCAACACTATCACTGCACCGCACAATACAACATTGCACCGCACCACTATAGTAACCGCAAAACCATTACTGCATCGCACAACCCATCACAAACCACCCTATATCGTCACATCAGCCTCCAACAATCACGACTTCATAGATTTGTGTGAAGAAATCAAACTCAATTTTTTTTTTGAAAAAAGAACAGATTCGCCTCCCCCCTCACACCACCACCTCCCATTCTCTTCTCCTACTCGACCTACAGCACCGACCACTTGTCCAACGCCGTCCAGAGATAAAATGGTCACTTGTGACTAGATATTTGCAATGCCGATCACCTGTCTCGATCTACAACGCTACACAAGATGTTCGCGGTTAGCAAATGTCACGTGCAAACGACGATCAACATTTACGCCGTTGCACGTGATTTCATGGTATTTTTTTAGGTTCTTTTCGTCCTCTGCTAAGCAACACATGCTATGAGGGGCTAAGCACCATGCAATGAGCAGCTATGAGTGGCTGTTTTATGAGGTTCTTAATGATTGTGGGGTGGATAGAGAGAGGGGAGAAAAATAAATTAGGGTTTTGATATAAAGGGGTACCTGGTGTGGGTG